ACCAGTGCTCCTATGAGAATCTAACGCCCGATGATCTGAGGTGGAGCTGAGAAGGCAAATACAGATGAAGCTTCGCTCGTTTGCCTGCCACTCACCTCCTGCTGTGCAGCCCAGTTCCTAACAGGCCACACGCCATGGACTTGTCTGCGGCCTAGGGGTTGGGGACCCCTGCTCTAATGTTTATGTGCTCCCTCAGCGACCAGTACTTCTCCATCGTGGCATTTAGCCCCTTGTAAAGTAATGGCCTGTTTGCCTGTCTGGACCTTCCTTTAGTCCGTAAGATCACTCAGAGGAGGGACAGTCCCTAGTAGGTAGGACTAATAGATACTCAATTAGAATAGGGGAAACGAATGAGTGAAGTACTGCTATATAAAGAGTACAACAGCAGAAGAGAAACGAAGCAACAGCTGCCTGGTCCTGACTACACCCAGGATGCTATCCCTTACGCACAGTACAATTCAAATGGGACAGAAGGCCCAGCAGGTGCGGAGACTCTTCAACCCTGAGTCCCAAGAAGCCACTGCAACTTAGAACAGCACCGAATAAAAATGCTCCATTTTCCTGAAGATTCACAAATGAGAACGGGCTGAAGTTCCTCTTGCCAAGTAAAGGGTCTTGCCTCACAGGTTCTGCTCACACGAGGTCACGTCTGATGAAATGGAAGCTTCTGAAGTTTTGCTTTCTAGCACTAACTGCTAAAAACTGTCTTCCTGGCCTAATTAACAGCTCTCTAATCTCTACAAACAGCCTTGCAATCATAAATTTGTAGGCTTATCTACTCACATGTAGTCTTTTCTTTATAACTGTGCAATTAAAAGGCCACCTTTGATTCAGCAATATCTATCAAAGTTTAAAATGCATATACCCTTTGACCCAGCAAGTCTCATCCCTAGGAATTTCTCCTATAAACTTGGCCATGAACAAAACGGTATATGTAAAAGACTCTTAATTACAGCGTTAACGAAGTTAACACTAGAAACGTATCAACAGAAAATCAGTTAAATAAATTATGGTGCATCCATATAATGGACTACTAACCTCACCCTTAAAAAGAATGACATGGCTCTATAGGAACCGATGATGACCTGATACATTAACGAAAAAGAGCAAACTTCACAAATGTGCGCAGTATTTTATTCTTTGTGTAAATACACACACACACACACATCTGGCTTGCATATACACAAATAAAAGGTGTACATAAACACATATATGAAATACATAATATGAGGTATCTAGAATAGTCAATTTCATAGAGACGGAAAGTAAAAGGGAGATTGCTAGGGGCCGGGGGAGGAAGGAGGAATGGGGAGTTATGTTAAGTTTAATGGGGACAGTTTCACTTTTGCAAGATGAAAAGGGTTCTGGAAATGCATAGTGGTGATGGCTGCACGACAATGAGAATGTATTTAATGTCACTAAACTGTACACTTAAAATGGGTAAAATGGTAAATTTGATGTTATGTATGTTTTACCATAAGTGAAAAATTACACACACACGCACACAGATTAATGAGAAACTGGTAACGATGGCTGCCTCCAGGGAGAGAAATGACTATTGGGGGACAAAGTAGCGAGGAGATCTTTTACCACCTAACCTTTTTATACTACCTTTCTCATTCTGTACTATATACCTAACTATTCAAGAAATCACTTTTTAAAAAATCAGCCTTATACAAGAAGCCTTTCCCTTAATCACAAGTCATTTATATCCCTTCTTTAAGTAAAAAATATTTTCAACCCAAATCAGAACGCCACTTCAGTTTTGAGGGTACTTATTAGATTTAAATGATGCAAGTTGTAAAAAATTGCACTTGTTCCCCTAAGAACATATTCACCAAAAGCCTGTCTTTATTTTTATCAGCTTTTACAGAAGCGCTTCAAAATCATCATAGAAGAAAATTACCATTTTTATCAGTACGCAACTTTTATTCTATCATAACAACCAAGCTAGCTGAATATAGAACTGTTTCAACAGCAAAAAGCCCTCATCATAATTCAAGACAAAAATCAGCCTGCAATTACGTGAGTTATAAAACAAACTATGCTTTATGTTGCAGTCTACCCTAAAGTTCTAACTTTATGTCAGAATTAAACACACACTCAGCCCCTCTGGATTCCTCCTAGTTTATCTAAAACCTACTTTTGATCCACTCTTTTCTTGAATCTTCCAAAATGAGCTCTGTAGCCACGCCACTGACGTCACGTCACGACTTCTGTAGCCCTGCCCCCAGTCAAGAAGGCGGCAGCACCTGCAGGGCCCAGCATAGCCCCTGGCTCAAAGCAGGGGCTCGAATATTTGTGAGATGAATGAATAAATGATTATCTGCTGACAAACTTGCCATCGAGCCTTACAAAGAAAAAATTCAGAAAGAAAAAAGTAAGAATGCTTTGTTCACCTGAAGTCAGCGATGATAAAGGTGAAGATCAGATAACCGGCTCACCAAATGACTATGATGCGACTGACTAAGTGGGCTCTAGACCTCACCCCACACTGAAGTTAAATACAAATGTAGGTATTTTGAAAACCATACAAAAAACACAGGATAACTTACCTATAAGATCCTTCTGTATATATCAAATATGTATGCACGAATATAGTACGTCAAGTTTTTTAGGAAGAAAATACAGATGTACACTGACATATTCTTAGAGTAAGAAAGGATTTTCCAAGTATAAAAGCAAAAGAAAAAATCATAAGAGAAATGTTATATATCAAAAAGACAAACAGAATCAAAAGATCTGGAACAAAGTGGGAAAAATATCTGCATGATAACAGAAAATTAATATCCTTAATACATTAAGAGTTCTTACAAATCGACTTAAAAATATCCCAATGGAAGAATGAATGCAGAACATGAATAGGCACTTCGCAAAGACCAGATACAAATGGCAAATGATAACTGAGGTTCGGCCTCAGTAATAACCCAAGTAGCACAAATTTAAAAGATGACTATCCAATTGTAGGAGGGTGTGGGGAGGTGGCACCTGCTCTGACTGTCGTGGGAACTGGGATAGCCATTTTGGAAGGCAATGTGGTGGTACCCACCAGCAACTCCAAGTCCAGGCAGCGTCCTTCAAAAACACTGGCACGTGTGGAAGTTTAATGCAGCAGTATCTTTAATAGTAAAGCATGGGGAAAACCATTGGGGGACAATGCATGACAGTAAGTCGGCAACAGATCATGCTGCTATTTAACAAAAAAGAGGCAGACAGAAATGTGTCATATGGCCAGATGCTGAATATGGGTAGTACCATCCCCCTTTTGTTAAAAACGCAAAAAGTGCATATTCGTATAGCCTGAGAACAGGCAAACAGTGGTTACTCTGGGTGGTGGGCACAGAGAGTAACAGGGAGCTTTCATTTTTTTACTTAATATATTTTGAAATGGTTTGACTTTTCCATGAAAGCACGTATTATTTTTATAATTTCTTAAAAAGGAAAAGAAGAAAAATGATAAGCTATAAGCACGTATCTACTAAAGACAGATTCTGTCCTTTGAAAACTCCCTTCAAAGTTCCCTGAAGCTCAAATGGCCGTGTCTTTCCCATTCATAAGTACTGAGAAATATTTTTTAAAAACATCTCTTCTATATTTCTTAGAAGGAATTATATAAAGTCACCACTGCCTGCTTTATAAAATCCAATTGTAATCTTAGAAAAAGACTATTAAAAACACTAACCGCCCCCCAGGCCTATCGTCGACCAGAAGAAACCCAGTCACTGCCCGTCTTACATTTAGTCCACACAATTTGAGACAATGCACAAAGCGCCAGCCACACAACTCCCACCAGCATAAACACGTGGCGGACAAAGAACGTCCTGTCAGCAGGGCCCAGGGCACATCCCGCAGCAAGGGGGAATGACAATCTGAGTCACAGGATCAGGAGTGAAACCAAATTTGGGACCTGGAGGCAGTGTGATGCTCTCCCCTTCCTTCCACATCTTCTCTTCTCCTCCGCCCAAACCCTGCCCCTCACACGGTCCTCAAATGAGCTGTTATGGATGTCCGCGCGGCTTTAGGCTGAGGTGTCAGAAACCTCTAGAGAGACACGACAAAGTGCTACCTGGGGGTCTCAGCTGGAATCTCAACGGCAGCATATGTGTAAACTCACATTTTTTTCTTAGGAAAAGAAATGGAGAAATTCGGTGAGAATGTTCTGCCCTTACCACGTGGAATGTTTGAAATCCAGGTGTCAAAACATCAAATGCGGAGTGACCACTGATTTTTAAAAAGCTTGAGATATTGAGCCTGCCAGCAGAGAAGTTAAGGAACCACTCACTGTTACCAACTGGAGGTCCACACAATGGTGCCAAAGCAGCCAAAAGTGCGGCTGACAGAGCGCCTGGGTGTCAGACCTCCAGTGGCTCGGATCCCGAGCTTTTCAAAAGGCATTCACTCTGCTCTAGTCTCAAGAGCCAGGTGTGAGTCTGGGTGCTCTCTTTAGTTCCCGTGGGAGGAGTGCAGCAAGCACATGCCATGAGCCATGGGCTCCCCTGTTCTGTGACAGCTTTCAGGAGGCCGTCCTTCTAGGGGACCACACGGCAGTTCCCACATCTGAAAATACATTACCACTGCTCGCTAACGTTGACCAGGAAGTCATTTACCCAAAACCAAAGCAAACAAAAGTACCATGCTGAAGACCACTGGGCAAAAGCAGCAGCGGCAGGTGAAGAGCTCAGTCAAAGCGCTCTCAGCTCAGCTGACCTGCTTCAAGGTGAACTGAAGTTGCAGATCACCAGTTCCGGCTCTAATCTGACGCCCGCCCCCAGATCACGCTGTGGCTACCAAGTAACCCTACCCAAACTGACCTTTCAGGGCTCAGGGAAGTGACTTTTTTTTATTATATGGCACAGTTTGGCACAGTTATGTCTTTAGTCTTTGGGGTACTTTCATACTGTCCAAGAGTAGTATAACTTGTTTTTTTCCTTTTTTTTTTTTTAAAAACAGATGGCCAAACCAGGACATATACTAAAAAAAAAAAAAGGAAGGTTACTTACCTGAGCCCTAACATTCCAGCTACCATGGAATCCTGTTGGAGCTGGTCTACAGAAGCAAGATGTATTCTGGGGAGTCACATGTCACATCAAAGCAGGAACTGGTGAGTCTGTATTTTTATGGAGCCTAAAACAAAGAAAATCGTAAGTTGAAAGCCCCCATTGTGCTGCACGATCTTTTTCCCAGGGCTATTTGGGACATTTCGAAGATAAACATATAGACAAAGTACTATGCTATTTCCCGGCTTACCTAGCTTGAAACAAAGGATAAACTGCAAATTACTGGCACATAACACACAGTGCTAAAATAAAGGAAAGATTCATGCATGTTAGAATCGACACTATCGTAGGTCCTGTCACCTCTGAAGGACACTCTGACAATTATTAAACGTACCGTTAGTAGTGATCTCTGGTATTTTTGGTACCATGTCATACAGAAATCATCAGGGAGAGAATACATGTTCAAGAGAACATGCGACATTAAAATACATGTTCAAAAGAACAGGCAACATTAAAATGTCATCCCAAAAAGAACACGCGAAATCCAGAGGCAAAGTCTCCCTTCTTTCTCAAGCAGCTGAAGCTGCAACAAGCTGCTGTTAACATCACGTAAAGAAAGGAGCTTTAACCCTGAGAGAAAAAAGCAGTACCAATGAAAACCAAGCGCCCTGGGAGATCCAAAGCCATCCTCCAAAAGTCTGTCTAAGAGCACTCACTTTTAAGCCTCTCGGATCAGTAAATTGCAATGTTCGACAGAGTTATTAGTTTGATAGTTTCTCTTTTGCTTTTGAACACATGTTCAAAAAAGGACTTTTATCATTACATTTTTCATTATTAAGATAACCATCATTTCCTTGTTAAAACCCAAACTGGCCTATATTAGCTAATCTCTGATACCTTGCTGGCCCAAGAGAAGCACTTTTTTATCTCGAGACTAAAAAAAGCCTGGCGTGTACAATTTAGAGATTATTCACACAAACAATTACTTGTGTAATCAAACCCAGAGGAAGGGCAACACCAACCAAGTCTTTTACTTACGGCTGGTCTCTAACTACCAGGATGGTACCTTAGAATTATTTATTGAGGTGCAGTGAGGCCTTATAATTCTCTTAAACAGTCGAGTCATAGAATGCTTTGAGATCCCCAAAGTCAAGGTAACAGTATTACTCAGTTAGCTACATAATAAAAATCAGACTGGTCTCCTGGCTGGGAGGCTCCAGAAAAGCACAACTTCTCACAGCCACGATTGTTTTTTCCTTGTAAACTGAAGGAGCTGGACTAAGGTTCCTTCTAGCTCTGAAAGTTTAAGATCTTTGATTAACTCAAGATTTCACAGAGTGTGTGGGGGGGAATAAAAGAGCCAGCAAATGAGAGCAGTTAAGTGACAACCCAATAAAGCAGTGATTTGCAGGTCCATATATATAACACCCCCAGCTCTTAGGTAAGGAAGACAAGTGACCGCTCCGTTAGGCTTGCTCCTGAGAGTTCAGACTTCTGCAGTAACAGCAAAACAGCTACAGTGAGGACACGTCCGTATGCCAGCAGACCCAACATAAGTGTGACTTGAAACAGCTACAAAGACCAAGGCTTTATTCCCTAACGGAATGGCCACACCCCCCGCTTTGATATGGGAGTGGGGATGCCCTGCCCGCCTCCCGAATTCCCATTTCCACTCAGGTCCCCTACACACCCACCTACCATCAAAGTGGTGGAACTAAGTATTAAAGCGATGACATGCAAATTAAGTTTTCAATAAGTAAGGGTTCCTTGCAAGAGAAAGGCAGAAGAGAGCAGGCACAGGCGGAAGAGTGCAACCTTTGTGTAAGTGAGCCCAAGGAAGAGGAACCCATTTACGTCTGTTCTAACCAAAACAAGATAGAAGCGCAGCGGTGACAATGGCAGTTTGCCTGGACAGGGCTGATACAGAAGCATTGAGGACAAGGTCCTTCTGTTGGAGCGGCAATAATGCTTTACCCAAGAAAAAAGGTTGTGTCTGCCGGCCACATGAGGCTGGTCTGCATGCATGTCACCATAGCAGAGGGCAGCGAAAACAAGCAGGTCTCCTGCCACACGCCCTGGAGCTCGCCGCCAGTCTAGGACTGTTCTTTACCTCCTGTGCGTTTAAAACACTAGTTACTCCAAATATCAAACATTTTCGGTGATTCTCTCCTCCTCACAGATACTCAGGCAGCCTGCCAACAAACTGCTCTTAAGCCAATTAAAAGATTTCCACTGATATTCACCTGTATAAAAGATTACTGGTTCCAGGACACGTCATTTATCATGCAAATAGTCCCAGGCAGGTACATTAGCGGGTGGAAACGGCCTCGAGACAGGAGCTAACAATTTTACCTCTGCTCTTCTTTATTCTTAGTTAAAGAAGTGAGCTTCTCATTCCATCTCCACGTGGGGGAAGGAGTATGTGGGTAGGGGCAGCAACATCACATTGGAGTCATCTAGCCAGTTTTTCTGTCAAACTCCTCAGCTTGCCTCCCCACCGGACTAGATTCGGCCACTCAGAAGCAGCGCGGGCAGAGAAACAATGACTCTGGCTGGAAGTTGCAAATAGAATGCAAAACTGTATCCTTACCCCCTGCTCCACACACAAACGGCACAAAAGTTGGAGCACGGTTTGACTGCATCATGCTGTCAGGTGAAACAAAGACCTGGTACTCTAGGTTTAAAGCATTCCAGGCAAGTTTGTAACAATAAAAAATAGGACGGTGTGATAGGCCAGTATGAACAAGAAAGCCATAAAAGGTTTCTTCAAGCTGTTAGGACATGCTGACTTCAGATGCCACCAGGAACTTTGCAGAGAAACTATATTCTGGAAGCTGCCAGTGCTGTTTAAAGGCCTTGGGTATGACAAACAGCTAGCTGGAGGGCATCTGAAGAGGCAAACACATTGCCAAGGATGGCCGAACGAAGCAGAGCCCTTGTCCTGTCGCATCCCGGGTTCAGATGTACAAACCTTGGTATCTTTGTCAAGTGAGGCTTGAGTATCTGTGTGCGTGGATGAAATGTATCTCAGTGATCGGCCACCTACCTAACATGCCACGAATGGGTGCTCTGTGGCGACGTACCTAATCGACTGTACTTCTACTAGATTGATTATGCCCTTTAAGGTTCTGACACGTGTGGGTAAGAAAATAAAAGGTAGTGTTTCCTAGGCTTCCTGACCGGGATTTGAAGTAGAAGTACTAAACAGCCCATAAATAAGCCTATTTCCCTAAATCCGTGGGGGAAATTCCCAACAGACCTAAAAAATCCAGACCCTGTATTTTTAATAAGGATCAGGCATATTTCAAAAGACCCAAGAGGTCAGCTCAATCTCACTGTTCACTGCATCACTGAGATCCAGATGAAAATTCCAGCCACGAAACCTCAAATTTCTCCTCTAGAGTAATAACTGCCTATTAATGGTGAATTTTACTACGAAGGTCCGAAATGCTTTATTTTTCCAGTATAACGAAATGCCTACAACTTGTGAGAGTCCTACAGAGTCCAAGCCACTCAGCATCACACGCCGGTAGGTTTGGTTCCACGATCACCAACCACCCCCTGAATTTGATCCTACCATCTCACAATTTGGGGTACTGATCCCACACAGCAGACACAACGTGTGAATGGCTCCGCAAAGCCCATTCCTGTTCCTGGAAAAATAACCAGAAGCACACATCTGCCTGACCATGAGTCAGGAATATCAATTTTGTGGTGGAGCCCATTTCTGCTGTGACCGATCCACACGGAACACACAACAGAAGCGACTGCCACAGAGGTGCTCCAGAGCAAGCTTCCCCTTCTCGGGTCCATACTTAGCAATGTCATAAACGGTTTCCTCTGTGAGGGCACTCTTTTTAGACTCTTCACAATGACCTTAAGTCTTCAGTGCAAAACCAAAGACACATTGCCACGCCACGTAAAAGTCACCTGAGTTTCAGTTTGGGTGACTGAGTCATAACCAAACTAAAAAGAACATAAACTTTCAGGGGCAACTGACAGGAACCATAGCGATGCGATGAACTTGCCCCATCTGGTACGGTGATCTCGTCCAGGACTATGGGAGCCCGTTACATACTATGTCCCACTCCACTTATGTAACTGGAAGATCGCCGGCGAAGGGGGGAGGATGGGGGAGCGCTCATATTCTGAGGCCACTGCACCCCCAAAGACCCTGGGGGCGCGCTCCCACTGAAGAGCCTCAGGTGCTGCCGGACACACAGTCCCCTACCCACGGCTCCTGATGGGAACGAGAACAGCCTCTTTAGGATGAGTTGTGGGACCAGGAACACAACGTCTAGTCCCTTTTGTGGGTGGACAATAATTCCCACCTACTTGTTCCTGCTAAATGGGAAAGGAGATGGTGGAACGACTCGCTCGCAGTGGGGGCAGAAAGTCATGGAATGGGCGAGAAGGAGGGGGAGGCAAAGCCTGGAGATGGGGGTGAGAGCGCAGGAGCCCTTGTGGCGCACTCTCCCGAACGGGA